CCCCCCCCCCAATTTTTTTAAAAATACTTTTTTATTACATTTTGTTTCGTTATTACATATACTTTCATCTGTTAATTTTTTTCAAGATACATTTCTTCATTTTTAACAAGATATTTAAAAAAAAGTACGAATTTCTTGTACTTCGGAATTTTGCCTTACGCTAGCATTGAAACTCAAATAACTATAAACAGTAGTTTCGTATAATAACGTGTTTGTACACGCGTAACATTGGTATTTATTGTGTTGATGAAGTTTTACAGTTGTGAGAAGTCAGTTTGTATTATACACCTTTCTTAAACAAATAATTAGTAGAAAATATAATATTATTTATATTTTATGAAATGAAATTTAAAAATATAGCTTAGATATCTGCCAAGTTTCTGCATAAGAAAAGAATCAAAGATGACTCAGAATTCATTGAAAAAAGTTATAAACAGATTTGAACAGCAAACAAGACTATTACAATTCTTGTTTGATTAAACAATTTTTTAATTGTTATGTATCAATAATTACTTATTTGTTTTTGAATAAAAGTATTTTAATAAAAATTTTTAAAACAAAATTGTTTTCATGTATCTCTAATTGCTTAAAAAAAATATGCCAGGGGTGTGCAAGTGCACCTCCTTGCACTCCCCTGCCGACGCCCTTGTTTTCTAAGGTTATGACTAAATACAGAAAAAACTTTTAATCTGGTACTGATTGCTGCTAGTTCTAGATTTATTTGGAAGTTATTATATTTTTTAACGAAGTAAATATTTGGCGTGAATGAAATATTTAAAAAAAATTATTTTAATCAACCTTAGATATTGAAGTTTTAAGTCATCAATATTTAAGCATCGCTACCAATTAAGAAAATTTTAAATTATTTGATTCGATGTAATAAATTTTTACAAAAGAATAAATTCAGTGCACACTTACATAAAAATTATTTTTAAGTTGGGATTTGATTATTTTAATATAATTTAACGTCATCCAATGTTTTCCGACTTTCTCTGCCACTGTTTTTTTGTTTTTCTTTTCTTTTTGAAATAAGCAATTCATTTTATGCATGATATTTTTTTGTAGATTTTTTTGCGGGATTTATTGGATTAGTTTTTTATCATACTTGTTTAATTAACCTTAACATTTAAAAGCATATTTACAGAGATCCATTTAAAAGTTCTGTATATATAAAGAGATGCAAATTTGCTCCGGACTATGGATAAATATTTTCTTGTGGTAGTGTTTTTTTTTAATGTATGATTCTTGATTTAGCAAATTCAATTTATAGGTTTTTAACTCGCCATTATTTCTAAATAATTCAAAAGCTTATCTGAAATGCTAACTTTGTTACAGCTATGTCGTGTTAAGCCTTTTAAGAAATTCGCAAAATTAGCTAACCGAGTACCAACCTTCACTCTGCTTATTTTAGCTTATTTGTTATGCGTGTGAGTAGATATATCTACACATTTTACCCCATACGTTAATGATTCATGCGTACATTTGAAAAGTATAAATAACAAGTATTTATCTCATTGCTTATATCATATGTTTCTGGGTAGAGAGATCGCTAGCAGGCAGAGCAAGCAAGTTATAACAGCTTGATGCATTGTTAATTATAAAAAAAAGCAATAAAATTTTCATAAAAAGTTTTTAATAACGATACATTTTCAAGTATGAATGGGAAAAAAGTATAAAATACTACTTATAAAATATACTTCATAAACATAGACAAATCGATGAACTTATATGCATCGTTGATTAAAAAAATAATAGTTAAAATTTCAACAAAAGTATTTTTAGTTTAAAAAAAACCTTCTTAAGAATGTAAAGCAAAACTAAAATATTTAAAAAAATGTACAGGGATACAAATAAAAATTTATTATACTAAAATTGAAGAAATAAATTAAAAAGTTTAATCAAAACTGCTTTCTTGGGAACAATACAATTCATGCAAATTTTGAGATATAAACTAAATAATCTTACAAACCCAAGAGATATGTTTAAACTGTTAAAGTTTGAAACAATAATACATGAAAGCAAAAATTTATAAGATTTTATTCTCAAAATACTTAATTCTAAGTTTAAGATGATTTTTTTTTCTCAATTAAATACCTGCAAGTGACGTCATCAAAGTAAATCATGGCATTTGTCCATTCAGTTGCCAATCATGTCGACACACACGAGTGACGTCGCTTACAGGTATACAATTAAATCTCATTTAAATCACATGACTTGCCACAATCACTTCCATTTTTTATTCCTCGAGTTGCAAGTACCCAATTGAAAGAAAGTAAAAAACAATGATATAATTGGTTTGTGTATTAAATAACATGAGAGCTAAAAGCAGCTATGCTATGCAAAGGATTATTTTCTGACCTAATGTTTCGGATGCATCAAAATCAAACGACGTTATAACTTAATCCTGATTAAAATAAAAGTAATATGAAACAAAATAATAAAAGGAAGTTTATGAACTCTTTATATCTTTCCGAGTCCCAGTATTTGGTACAGTTTTATCACTTTAAATATTTTCATTGTTAATATGCCTTTTATCAAAGCAATTGTCCATGTAAAAATGCAAATGGATTTACTCTCGTTATTCGCAGTTTTTTTATGACAATGAAAAATAATAACAAAAGTAGGAAATTGGATTCAATTAACATTTTGCATAGTTTTACGGCATTTTAATTAGTTGAATTTACTAGCTTTAACTACTCAACCTTTCATGACCAAATTACACTATAAATAAATGTTACAGTATGCAATGAAAAAAAAGTCAAAAATATATCATTTGTGTGAAATAGTTAAAAATAACTAAAAAAGTTGATTGGGTTTAATAAATAGATTTTTTTCAACAAACTAATAGTCGCATTTTCTGTGTATGTAAGAGATTGAATTTATAGTTTAATCTGTTTTCATTTTTAAATGCATTGGAAGAGAAAAATATACAAGGATTATTTTATAGTGGTCAAAATTGTTTTATCAGAAACAGACCAATAAGGAAATACTTCATTATTTTCACTTCTAACGAATACAATAGAAATTTGTAGATGTTTTTTTTTTTTTAATTTCATTTTTTTTTTAATTTTGTAAGAGTAATTTTTATTTTGTAAATTTTATTTATGTTATTTTCTTATTTACACATGCATTGCAATAAATTAATATTCTGCTCTAAAAACTCATAAGTGATTGTAACTGTCTAAAAATAATAGTCGTCCAGATGATATGATCTTAGTATATTTTAGACATGGGGGTTGTCGTTCGCCTATTTCTGGTGCCAATACTACTTCCATCACATCTTTCATTGAGCATTCTGGAAGCTTTTCTTAGCAAAGAGTTTTCGTATTCCTCTGGAGTTGAACATCGGCCTAACAGCATTGTATGAACGGGGAAAGTGCTGTTAATCCATTGAATGCTGCAATCACAATGCAGTTGATTATCTGCGGGAAAGAAAAATACTACCATTAACAGACAACTTGTTAATTTTATAACGTTAAAATATATTTTATATATTTTAACGTTGACTAAGTAAAAATTTTATTGTGTTAACAACTGAGTAAAGTTTGGGATCATTCCATTGTCATTGCTAGTTTCCTTATTCGTTTGGTACAAATTTTCGGGCAAAAGTGGTTTTAAATTACTCTTCCCCATGGATGGCCAAAGCGAGGTGCGTCCTTCAGGGCAAATTTTCTATTTTTAAACTTAGCATATCTATCATAAGGGGTTCTTGAAAGTATGACGTCCTCTTCGCACGCAGCACAAATGTTGTGAGCAGCTTTTGTGGTTTTAGAATCTCGAATAAATAAAATTAAAAAAGGAAGGAGGTGCCGAAAGCGCTTGTTTTTTTTTCCAACTTGGCGTTCCATTTTTAATAATCTGAATATTAAAGTAAATTTACTTAAAAACATTGATTTTGGTGGAATATAAAATTTTTTTAATGATCTAGAATATTATGAAAAAAAAAAAAACATTTAATGTATGGAGTATCACAATTTTTAAAAAAAAAGACTGCAATAGCATTTACGATAAACTTCAGCGCGTTTTTCAGGGTATTGTATTTTTTCCCCCCTAACCAAAACTGCACCGAGTTCACAAAATCTAATTATCCATTTTCTTTTAAATAGCATATTTTTACCATTTATTGTACCAGCTGTGCGCAAAAGGTTAATAATTTAAATTTTTAAAGATTTCTTAAAAGTTTTTTTTTTCGGTAGCGAATTTTTTCCAAGTGTACTACATATTCTTTGGACTATATCAATGTGAAGGTTTTTTTAGAGTGAGGGAAGAGAAATGAATGATTGATTAACTTTTTTTCAAAAACTATCTCAGTAAGTTAATTAAATCAAAAAAAGATCTCCAAATCTTATCCATGCATTATTTATTTATTTTTGTTATTTCTAAAACAGACATAGCTATTGCAAGAAATAGATAATGTTTAGAAATTTATTTTCAGTAAAAGTTTGTGTACTTGAAATTAAATTTACGTTATTTACATTATTTTTTCAACAAACACGACTGACTTAAACAATAGGTTAATAAACATTTCACGAGTCTTAAATGAATACTCCCAAGAGACTGTATCGGAAAGGTATACTTGATAGTATAAAGACTTCATTTTTCTTTAAAATTTATGAAGATGGTAATAAAAAGTGACATCCACAGAGTGTTCCAAAGCAGGCGCCCATTCTCAAGTCTCACTCGACGTGAATGAAGAAAACAAAAGACATTTGATACAGAAAACGTAAAGTTGCCAACTAAAATTAAATATAAAATTGAATAATAAAATTGATAAAACCGCGGTAGCCGAGTGTGAAATTGAAAAACATTGGTAAAAAGCGAAACTAGAAACTGAGATTGAAAACCGCAGTAGCCAAGAGAAGCAAATCGGGACAAAGCGGATTGACATGTGCTATCGATATAACGAGTCTGTAACTAATTGTTTATTTTAAAATCCAAAGTAGTTCTGATTTATTTTCATTAAACATCGTTTATTAAATTAATAATCGCTAAAAACTGAAGCGAAAAGATATACTTCTTTAAAATTAACTTTATTAGCTTCAAAATATATGAAAATAGCAATCGAATTTCGCTGGTTTCAAGCGCTCGGAAATAGGCGCCCATTCTCAAGACTTGTTTGACGTGAATGAAGAAAACACAAGTGATTTAATGTCGTCTATGACATCGTTTCCATCCTTGTATGACATCTTTCATGCAACATTTATGTAACCATATACATGCTGGTCATTTAGAAGAAAATGGCAGGTCATTAAGTACTTCAGGAATATAGTAAAATGCTTACCTGTCAAATCAATATTTTTCAGACTTTTGATGGGCACACCTTCCCATTCACTCTCATCGAGTTGTTGGATCGTGTTGTAAGCAAGATTAAAAGTCACTAAATTGGGCAGTTTTGAAAAGAACTTATTTCCAAGGGTTTGAATATTGTTCCAACTATCAATATAAGACAAAATTATTGATAACAATTTCTTTGAATATTTCAAAAGTGTTCAACATTTTATTAAATTATAAGCAAAATGTAAAAATATTATGTAAAGAAATACGAGGATTGTTTTTTAAGTAAGGGCTGTTTTGTTGTGGACACTAATAGGTGACTTAATCAGTTACAGTCATGTAGGTAACCTGTACAGTCAGTTATTCTGCGTCTTTAAAATGTTCAAGTTTAACAAATCGCCCCCCGCTGATCGAGATACAGTCAGTGATGCATTTTTAGTCAGCAGAAAGCCTGTCTGCAGCATATAGCTTCCCTCAGCTAGGAACTCCTGCCGCCACAAAGTCATAGACCGTCTGGTGCTATGGAAACAAGAATAGCACATTTTGGGGAGGGTAGCTTCACTCTAGGACTAACACAATAGACGGAGGAGAGATATTCCCTTTCTCTCACCGACCGAAGTCGAAACCACACCAAAACAGTGACCCCGCACCCCTACTTGAAATAGTCTACCTCGTTACCATAGTCACCGCCACAGGTCCAGGTGATTGTCTGGGGGAGTTCTTGTTTTAAACAAACTATACCTTCACCGGCAGATCTGTGAAGTTCATGAAGCTTCCTACTGGTATACTGACGGGAAATTTTGTTCCTCCATGACAATGAGTCTCTTCACAGCTCAGTCTCCAGCTTTATTGGATTCTTTTAGTCGTAAAGTTCTGGACCAACCCTTAATACAAGTCAGGCCTTGCGTTAGGTGATTTCCATCTTTTCCGATGTTTCAAACGTCATTTTGGCGGCAACCAGTACAACGATGACGTGAAAATGGTCGTGACCTCTTGGTTATCGGAGCAGGCGGCAAGTTACTATGAAGAGGATATTCTAAATCTAGTTGTAAGGTATGATAAGTGTTCAAGAAAATTTGGCAACTATTTCGAAAAACAAGAGAAACATATGTAGAATCAAAAAATTAATTTGCTTCATGAAAATTTTCTTCCGTTTGGTTATTTTCAAACGGCCCTTGATAAACAGCTCTAGTATCTTAAAAAATGTAATCTGTTGAAGTTTTAGGTTTATTTTTAAGCTTCTTTATAGATTGGTTGTATACAGCAGCAGTTTCCAATTTTTTTTTCCGGCAATGGAACGCAGATGGATTAACTCTTTTTCGTCGGAATCCCAACTTCATAAAAACAATTTCGACCGTATTTGTCAATAAAAAAACTTTATTTTGAAAATACTTAATAGGAAGAATGAACTTTTTTCACTGTTTTATCATTAATAATCTTAGTCAGTTTTTATGTCCGACTGTTAAATTTGAAATCATGAAGCTGTATCTAGTCCAGCTATAAATTTGTTTTAAGCGTAATGTATGCTTTCAGCTGAAAATGAATAAAACAAGCAGAAATATGGTTTTCTTTGAAATAATAATTAGAACGAACTGACGTTAAAAATCGTTATTAGGAAAACATATTTCTTTATTAACAAATTTGGTAGTTTTATCTTCATTCAAAAATCGCAATGAGAAATAATAATGAAAGTTTCATAAATGCATGATCTTTTCATAATTTATACTCTATATTGTTATTAGAAAAATTATATTCTGTAAAAAAAAATTATTTATTTATTTCTTTAAAGGTATTTTACTTTAAATAAATTCTTAAGGGCAACAGAAATATGAAATAAGAAATGAATTATTAATTAGATGCTAAATTGATTGGATTGAAATAAGAAACAATTCTTTTTAAAGGTCTCAAAGGTTACTGGTTAAAACATATGCCCTAACTCTCGGAACTACTTTAACTCTTCCACGAAACCCTATTTGGGAACTACTGATGTACAGAGTATGGACTATATTATATCTCTCAAAATAAATAAAGAAGTTCGATTCAATTCATCCTTGAAGCGTTATTTTAAACAAATGTAACTTCTTTTTAACTACAGTACACTTTCGATATCTCGAAAACCTTGTTATGTCAAAAAAATATTTTTCCCTTAGGCTTTATATATCCACCTAGTGTTAATTTGAATTCCTATGTCGAAGAGATTCTTCTCAAAACCTTGTCATGTCAAATTTTTTTCGAAATAGAAATTGAACTTTTTCGAAAAACTCACAAAGTAAGTTTAGTGTAAACCAATTCTTTTCTATTTGAAGCATAATTTTTTTTGTCTTACTTTTAAAAATAAAATTATAATTGCTGTATTCAGATTTAGAGTCAACGATCATTGCATGCATATATATATATAGGTAATTATTCGTATGTTTCATGCCTCTACTTTTTAGAGTAATGTTTTGGAATATATTTTTCTACTTTTTAGAACATATTTAGTTCTGAACTTGTTATCCCGAAACCTCGCTTTCTCGAAATTTTTTTAGCGTCTCTTCAACTTATCGAGAGTATACATTATTATACTTCTAAATACCGGAATCTTAAGTTTTCCTTGATAGTTTCTTTATTTATTGTACATACACGACACTGATAATTCTTTACTGTTGAAAATTGTACAATACGGATTCAGCTGAGCTTTTTATCTTGTTTTTCTGACTTCTCTTTTCAAAGAATGTAACCAAATAATGTGATGTAGAAACAATTTTTCCTTGGTCTCAGTTGCTATCATAATTGACTCTATATGAACTCTATATGACTCTATAGAATTGACTCTATATGGGTTCTATATGAACATAAACCAATATTGGAGTGTCTAGATTATTTAATGTTGGTCCTACATAGGGCCAGTATTGGCTGAATAATAAATATAAAATGTCGGGTGAATCTGACAATTCTATATAGGGCTAATGCGGGAAAATAACGGCCCTTTGAACGCTTATTGAGCATAAATTCGTGAATATTGGTACAATGAGGGTCCAAGTTAATTTGCTGCTAGGGCCTAGAAATAACTTAGGACCCTTAAAAAAAAAATTTAAAAAAATTAGTCTCTTTTGAAATGGTATTAAGAGACGACAATTTATTTTTTCCCGGGTCGCATTCATTTAATCGACAATAATTTCATCGACAGGCCATTTCATCTACTAGGCCATTTCGTCGACAGGCTGTTTCCTCGAGAGGGTCGTTTCGTCGACGAAATGACCCTTGAACCAAACCCTTTTTTTTCCAGTTTGTCATGGGTACAATAAATTTGCAGTCGTGGTAATAAATTGATGTTGTTCAAATTCAATTTAAAAAAAGAAAAAAAACACTTCATTGTTTAGTGTACTGAATGCTTAAAAAGTTACCTGTAATATACCCGATCCCGAATTCCGAAGAAAGACTAGATCGAGCGGTGCATCCGACACGCCCACCATAACGTTTCATTTACGTCATCAAGAATTACTGTACTGCTGCCTAAGGCTCCTATACTATCAGAGCTGACCTATCAAGCAATATTGGAGCAAAAAAGTTCACAAGTTAACGTTATGTTAGTATTGTGCTTATGTTAGCTCTTTGGAGCAAAAATAAATGATGAGTCGGCCTGTCTAATTCAGGGGCTCTACTGCTGCCATCTTTGACTAATAATTTCTTTTAATTTCAAAACCATAACGTACTTGCGTTATTTCACAGCCATTACTTTTTGTTTGGTTCTGTTTAAAACTATTCTTCGCTATTTAGTTCATTTGCCTTTTAAAAGAAAAAAAAAACAGTTCTCGTTTGAACTAAACCTCCTTTCTCTGATTCAAATTTTTAAATTGTTTTCTTTTTTTCATGAGATTAAAAAAAATTTAAGGCTTATTATAACTTCAACACAAAGCCGAATACACATGTACATGCATTTTAGCATAGATAACTGTCGAAACATGCACTTAAAATGTTGCCTTTTTTTCAATAAGTTCAAAAACAAATATGTATATTTATAAGAACATTTCTAGTTTAAATATTCTTCTAATTATAACAAAAAAAGAAGAAAAAAGAATTGTTTTACTTCTTGAAAGTGTAAAGTAGTTGGAAAGTTTTTTCTTGATAGAAATCTAAACAAAGAGTTTCTTTAATTTGTTCAAACTAAACTAAAACAATTACATACTTTGAAATTGTTAACTTTTCAAAATTTTCAGAATAAAAAACTCTACAATTATTTTAGTTACTTCTAACCACTTACCTCTAGATAATTATAAAAATACATATTTAATGAAATTTCTAATTTAAATATTCTTAAAATGAGAAAGACTGATTTTTTTTCCTTCATAAAAATTGGAAAGTAGAAAGAAAACAGTTTGCCCCTAATAAAAGTAGTAGACTAAAATAAAAAAGAAGTATTTTTAAATTTTTTAATATCATAAAATATTCGCTGTGTAAAACTAAGAACATTTCTCTATTTTTTAAAGAAGAAAAAGCTTCGAAAAAAGGATTTTATTTTAACTGTAAATAAAGTTTAAAATCGCACAAAACATGATTGAATTAAAAAAAAAATACATATATTTTTTAATACTAAAGATGACAGCAGTGCACTGATTTTTGATGATGTCAATGAAAAGTAGTTGTGGTAGTGTCAGGTGCAACGCTCGATCTAGTCGGTCGAGAAATGCAAAATTCTTGGTTTCGTCGTTAAATTTGGATGTCCATTTTCAGAACCCCCTATTTCTGACTGTCCACAATAAAAAGCTGACAGACGTATTATCTTCTTTTAAGTGACATTTAGAATTTACCTTACATCCAGATATTCCAGATTAGTCATTTCAATGATAAACATATTGTGCAGATATTGGATCAGGTTGTGGGATAAGTCTAAGGTTTTGAGCCGTGGGAGGTTCTTTATGGCCTTCGCATCCACGGTAACAATCTCATTGTGGGTCAGATTCAAAATGGTCAGCTCCTTCATCTCATAGGGAAATAGATCGAAGTTGATGCTGGATAGTTTACCGTGGCTGAAATGGAAATGCTTTAACCGACTCATGCAACTCGTCCAAGAATACTTGTTGTTTTTGCCTGAATCACAGAGTGTGCAAATCTTATCGTGGGACGAACTATTGGTGATTGAAAACCTAAAAGAGAAAACACATCAGCTCATTTGTTACGAAAATCAATTTCATTTTATACAATAAAAAGATAAGCCTCGAGTAGATCAAACTTGTAGATCTCCCGTGAAGTTCTAATGAAACTTGTATAATTTTGTAGACAATTGTTAAATTTTGGTTTGTTACAATTTTCAGTATTTTTATGCATTTTTCAGCACATTATCGCAATTTCAAGTTTCTAAGTTTTATACTTTTTTCGCAACAAAGCAAAAGGTAACTTGAAGCAAAACTACTAAAAAAACATCGCGGAAAAAACACTTAAAATTACGATAACCTTTAAATAATTTTGAATTTTAAGAAGAAAAAAAACTCGTATTAAGTTCATAAATAAAAACGACCCTTTCAGCACGACAAATTTTACATATGTAGTTGCATTCCAGTGAGCAATGGAACTGCGCTCGTATCTTTCACAAGTTTAACAGTTAATGATTCTGGGACTAATTAACGAAGGTTAATTTTTTTTTATTCCATCTTACTCCCTGTTCACTTTTCTTCGTAATTTCAGTTCTACGTTTTATAGTGTTTGAGCAGCAAAACAAAATATAACGTAAAGTTGAACAGCTTTTACTGTTTTTTAATAAATATAAAAATTCTTTTTAATTAATAAATTGAAAGAAGGGACATTTACTTTTGAGTCATTGTATTTCTGCAAACGAGTTTGGATTGGCAGGCAAAACATTGCGATAACGTTGTGTCTACGATATCGATCTCCGTGACTTTGAGCAACGTTAGCCAGTCTGTGGGCAACACTCTCTTGTCTTCGCCTGCTTTTTCAATCTTGTGAGCCTCCCAGAAAGAATCATACAGGTGCAAAACATCTATTTTTATGGCACGTAAGGATGGAAAAATCGCAGCCAATGAATCAGAGCTATGAACATGGTGGCAATACACTGAAGTCATATAATTTTTCTTCCCCAGTTGAATGTTCGAGCAACTGCAAGGATAGATGCTCTCTCGAGGTGGGCATAGACTTCCAGCCAACACACCAGCAGTGAAGAGGGAAAGGAGAAAGAAGGATGTAAACATGATTAAACCTGTAAATGAAAATAATAACTGTTAAATATCACTCCTCCTGTAAATTGGGGATGTCTTATTGATTGCCCTTTTTCCATAACTTAATGAAATTAACATGTTTTTATTTATTTTTTCAAATGTTTTACTTTACCTGGTCTACATACTGAAGTGGTATTTTTTTATTCACATGTTTGGAATGTGGTACTATCTCTTTCGAGTAACAATAAAGGACGTTTTCGGTGAAATGGATTCCTATCCATTGTGTCTTGAAGGGAAATGAAAGTGCAGATAATCAGGCAAAAGATGAATCTCTCTTTGATCCTCCAGAATGTCTTTTAAACCTGAGATCCCTATCCATATTATAAGCAACAAGATAATGCACGACTTTCTACAGGCTCATTTACACTATTGCTGACTTTCTTGACTGCATTTTGTGAGAGGAACATGAATCCATGAATGGCGAGCTGCTTTTCAAGACGCTCTTCAACAACACAGCTTTAAGCAAACATTGGGTGCTTCCGCCACTGAATTGCCGAACTCACTTTCTCATCATTCCAACAATCGTTACTATTTCACAATACAAGTTGACGATGAATTTCAGCTGGTTTAACATTCTTTGCGTTCGAAAATCTGATTATAGAAAACAATCCGTGGAATCGCAGTTGTTTTCAATATATTGAACTCCCCACTATTACATGGAAACATTACATAATGTGGCTGCGATGGTCAGAGATGCGTGTGCGCTTAGACGGAAATTTGATACTTCCGCTGCAGTGGCGGTAGAGCGAAATATGGTGCATCGGGCTTGCCTTCTGCGTTCGAAAAAGTAAAAATTAATTAAAAATATTAGTTTTTCAAAATTAACTGTCGCTTTCCGGAATTTCTGTTAACATACGCATATATACTTTTAAAAAAAAAATGAATAGCATTACTTTAGCACCAAGTGAAAAAATATAAGCAGCTATTTCGTCACGCTCGGTTGATGCAATCGAATCCTTTAATTCTTTTAGCAAGTACTTTTTCACTTTGTCCATAATTGCTGTTACCAATTAGCTACATAAATAATATTTATTTATTTTTTAGCTTATTTTATTTCTAGTCAAATCCAAATTTTCAAAGTCTAATCCTGAATTTTTGTTCTTTTAAATTTTATACTTGTTGCTGATAATATTTATTACTGTATTAGGTAACAGACATGACAAACCTGATAACAGACGTAACAGAGCATTTTAGTATCTTTTTTTTTTCTTTTTGTAAAAAAAAATTATTTTTACTTAGCATCTTTTTTTTTCGTCCTCAAAATCCCGTCGTATGATCCAGCTATTTTTCATGAAAATACAAATTTCTTTAATTGTCATCAATTGTTAAACAAGCATTTTTTTAAAATCTATAAGTTATTTCCTCAGAGAATCATATAAACTTTCATTTAAAAAAACAATTTTTTTCTGAAGTGCCGGAACACTATCACTCAATCGGTTTCAGATATAAATCTATCTATTAGTTAGATTGATGAGTTTATAATTTGCCTTTAATATCAATTCAATTGAATTTATGAAGTTCTTTGTGATTGTTTGGTTACTGTTTTTAATTTAGTTCCATAAAATGCTTAGATTTAAGTTCTTGAAGGATATCACTTGTTGATGAAGATAACAGTACGCTTTGTATAGTTAATTGCGATTTATTTTAATCTCTTACAATTTTTCTTATTCTTAAACTTCTCCAATGTGGAATAAAATACGTATTCATATGGATTACGTACACTATTAATTCTTTCAAACTAAGGAATAAATTTCAAAAAGTGTTGTTAATGTAGATTTTTCTTTTCTTTGTTTATAGTAGAATTTAATATGACTGAATGAAATAAACAGGAGTAAATAAAAATATGTCAGAAATACTATATTCGTATGATAGAAATAAAATCAATAAATAAATTATTTGAAATCGATGTGAAAATTTTATGCTTCTCCATACATTCACAGTAGGAAAAAATTTCAAAACGAAAAGATATATGCATGCAATTCTATCTTTGGTCAGTATTTATTATTGGAATGGAGCAAGGAAAAAGACGCCTTTAAAATTAACCACCCACTAAGAGAAGTATTTTATTCGTACATGCTTTTAATATAAATTATAATCATCATTCATGAAATATTCCTAAGGAAGAAAAAAAATTGACAGAGTCACTACATAATAAACCATAGAGAGTCAACTATTCAAATCTACAGTGACATCTAACCGTTTCCTTTGTAGCAAGAGGGCGAGACAAACTTCAAGGAAAATGTATAAGAGTGGATCGTCTATATCAGGGGTGGCGAACATCTACCAACGTGCCATTTTTTTTCTAAAAAGTTGTTTAATGAGGTCATAGACGTGCCGTCAAATAATTTTGACTTCGTGATTATTAGAAAAATAATAATACTAAATACTATCAGCTTTAAACTCTTTACTTACACTGAAAAAAAAAAAACATTTCGCAATGTCTCAGTTATACGCGTTATTCAACTTAAAGTAACATCAGTGTGACTTCTGTTGTTGCAGAATAGATGACAAATAACTTAGATTAGGTTGTAAGATGTTAGTTTAAGCAGGACTGTTAAAAAAATTTTTTTTTGCTAGTTACTTTTGTTAGCTTGTTTTTTATGTTATTGTTTTTTTAGCATTAATTGTTAATTCTTTTATTAATAATTATTTATTATTTTGTGAATTTTAATTTAATTGTTACATATCCTTCATAGTGTAATAACATTTGTGTAATGACAATTCATAGTGTAATAACAAATGTGATCGGTGACGTACCCAAAATATCGTGTTGAGTGCCATAAATGGCACGCGTGCCATTGGCTCGCCATCCCTGGTCTATATTATCATTTATGACTATTTCTTTTTTCTCAATAGAGATGTCTACACTGACGTCACTTCACTTACCTGTCCACTGGAAATCCATTAATGACCAATCGGTTACAGAGGCCAACAGGAATGTGTTTCTATTGGGATATGAATACGAATCGTCTATTAGGAATAATGCATACGGAATTTGATTGAATGATAGTGGAGCCCTGATCTAGTTCAGCCTCTGACTTGGACATCTCCATTTAAATGTATTTACTTGTAATATTTATTAGTAGTTTCTGCAATTATTACGTTTTTATAAGTGATTATTATTCCAAAGTAGCTAAATACACGTTCTTCTTGCGAGGTGAAAATAGTAAATTATAAATAAAGCGCTTTAAAATCGTGCACGAAACTGAGACATTTCAACACAGTTAATAAAGTAAAGCTAAAATAATAATTCCGATTTTTTTTTCTCTTTACTTATTACTATATTTTGTCCTATCCTCTTTCTACAGTATCTATTTTAAAACTGCTCGGTTTTAATGAAGTTTAATAGGCAAAAAATATACTAATACTAGTGGGCTGCGCCCGCTGCTCGCTAACGCTCGCCAACCCCCGAAAATTGCTACGCAATCTTATATGGTTTGCTTCGCGTACCAAGATCGCTTCGCTAGCTACTAACTTAGGTACATTGCAAATGCACACAATTCTAAGAATTCAAAACAATCATTCAAATCCATATAAAAAAATTACATCTTTTTAGTAAATACTAAGTCATTAAAATAAATTTGAATTCAAATAAATGACATGTAATTCGTTAAACCTATTAGAAATGTGCTATAGTATAATTCGTGATGTAAATCAAAAATCGTCAAATAAATTCGTAATGTATAAATTCGTGAAAAAAAGCGCTTTCGACAAAATACTAAAATAGAGATCTATCGACAAAGACTACTCACTTCTGCCTAGCTTAATAGTATGAGATTGCCGCAGTTGATGCTCTCTGGTTATTTCAGTTTCCGTTTTTAAAAGCGCTATATGTTGAGTCACCTCAAATAGATTTGGCATGTGACATTTTTAGCGGCAATCATGGGTCGATTCCCGTGTAACAGTAATAGTAGCGTAAGCAAAACAAAGCAAACGTTGCCACCGGCGGAAAAGAAATACAGCCAAAATTTGGGAGCCACGTAAGAGAATTATATATATTAGATATTTAGATCTATTGGTAAACAGAAGTGATTTTTCTTAGTAATCATTTTTTTAAATAACATTTATGTTGTTATAACGTTATATTGTTGAAACAAATTTGATGAGTTCACATCCTTAATTTAATATTTTCGCTTACCAAACGGTAGGATATATTAAATACTTTTTTTTTTTTGCCTGCATCTCATTGTGCATGAAGCTGATCCTAAAGTTCTAAATCATTTAACAGATCTCTTTAACTGTAATTTATAACAGTATATTAATGTTATTTGCTCAAAAATAATAATTGTAAGACCACCTTTCTAAATAACTTTATCTTAAAATGTAAGGCAGATTTACATTATGATACTAATAAAAAAAACAGCAATTCTCTTAGTTTTAAACTCTTGAATTAAAAGCGTAATAATAGCAGTACAGGAAAATAACTTTAAGTTAGGGATTCAAAAATATTTATAGAAAAGCATGACTTTTATTAATTTTATGCTGACTACAACCAAAACAATAAGGAGACGAATGAGGAAAAACTTGATCACACCACCTGATTTTCTGGCCACTAAAAATGCACCGACAACAATGGAAAACTGCGACACCATCATTAGAATTTTATATATAGTAAGATAATATATTTTGTATCTATATTAGTATATTTGGTATGTATTGAAACTGCACCAATTACCATAATACCAGTAGTACATATAACAAAAAATAATTACGCATCGTTGGCGTCAATAAGAGCGCGGCAATTTTTTTACGTTTCTTCTAAACGGTTTAGAACCATTTCTTCAGCAATATGGTTTATTAATACTTAGTTTATTCTTTTATTTTCATTATTACTTATTGCCAAAATTAATTGAGCATCATTGGCATCAAAAATGGCACCGTGATTTTTCACTTTTCTTAACGAATTAACCATTTTTCTATTAATTTTTTTCTTTTAGTAAACAGCTTTATTTTATTACTTCAATAAATCCCTATTTTCGAAACTAATTAAGCACCATTGGCGTCAATAATCGCATGGTGAGTTTTTACTTTTCTATAGAACTCACCATTAATTTTACTTTACAGTACACAGCTTATGATATTTATTTTTTTTAATTAGTTCCTATTACTATAATTAATTCAACATCATAACTGTCAAAAATGGCATGGATATATTTTACTTTTCATCTTAATAAATTAGCACCGTTTCTCCATTAATTTTGTTTTTCTAGTACATAGCTTATTTTTTTTGTTTCAAGTAGTACCTATTAGTAAAACTAATTATGGATTACTAGCGTCAAAAATGGTATGGAGATTTTTCACTTTTCTTTTAAACGAATTAGTTCCATTTCTCTATTAATTTTTTCATTTAGTACATAGTTTATTTTTATTTTATGTATTTCTTTTTACCAAAATTAATGAAACATCATTGGCGTCAATATATAACTATTATTTTAAATTTTCCTATTTTGCTTTTCAGTACATTTTTTAAAATTTTAATGGGATATCTGTAAGTGACGTAGTATGGGTATATCGATCCTGATTGGTTATTGAAACGTGGCATTTGTTTATGATTGCAACTGTTCTTTCCATTCTATTTTGAGTAAGCCAAGCCTGTCAAGTATCAATTCTCTTACGTGACACATTCTATATTCTTACAAAGAGATTCTTTCATAAAGATTTCAATTCTTCCATTATACATTTATTACTTAACACAAAGGCAGGCAAAGTTGCCAAGTACACAAAACAAAAATATACCACGGTTACAATAAAATACATAAACAAGTAATAAATCTAAGTTCAGCAAAAGACGTAAAAGAGAAAGAATTATATTTCAACAAATTCGATGTGCGATACGGTGCTGTATTTAATCAACTTCACGTTAATTAACATTTTAACTTATGTGGGGAAAATTAGCTCAACTTAAAGACGCCATTTTGCTTAATAACGATCAGCTGGAGCTGACGTTGTAGGTAAAATGTGTGGATATTGTAATATTTTTCTTTCTTGAAGTGCAAATACCCAATTACCGTTGATTTCGATATTATTTCAATTATACAATTTAAATTACTGACTAGCAGACAATTTATTTTATCATCATTTGTTATATTTAGTCACGCTATACTATAAATAAACAAAAAAATTATTATAGCAATATTGGATGTTGGCAAGTTAAAAGAGCCGGGGCACTAATCTTTTCCAAGTTAAATGAGCAATGACCTTAAATCATTTTTAAGTTACAAGGGAAGCATCTCTGACTCAAATATGTCTAAACAAAATAGGGTTTAAGGTAACATACATGATAGTTTCAACTACATCTGACCAAAAAAGCATCAACCTACCAACTGAAAATATAATTCTTCTTCAAATACACTTCTGCCATCTGTAGGCCAAAGCTTCCTCAATAAGCTTACTCCATTGAATTAGAAGGTCATCAACGATTGACTTTTAATGTCTTACGGTCTAAAGCTTTCTTATTTTGAAAATAATTCGGAAATAAAAATAATAATTGTATGAGAAAGATTTATATAGTATAAAAACAATTTTGGATTTCATTATTATATATTATGTATAACAGCTTTTCCGTTTTTTTAATTTCTGAAATGACCCACACATTAAAGTTAAAATATCATAAAAAGGCATATTACAAATTCTGAACTCCCATAAAGCAATTTTTCATAAAATATATTTTCTTTGCATTAATTCACTAAAACAAAGTATTACCTTTCTTTAAGCATAAAATTCAGTATTGAAAATATACCTACCAGAGAAGTAAATTCGTAGAAATTCTCGAAGAATTTCTTCTCAGCTTGATGGAATAAAGTCTTAATATAATTTGTAAGTGGTTAAGCAATTTACTTATATACATTTTCTCCTTATTTTTTTTCCTTGGCATTAATTGCAAAATATTTACCATAACATAGGGAAATATCCCTCCTTATTGAGTTAACAATGAATTATTGATATCAGTTCTTGAAAGCAATTTAATACTAAAGATAACAGTATTGTTTGTCTCAGTCTTATCTATAAGATTTTGTTTAATTTTGTGACAACTGATATTGAGAAGCTTAAAAGTTTTACTTTGGAACATTCGTCGATTAAATGTTCACATTTATCTCTCTCAATATTATCGAAATGTGTTCAATTGCGCATTTAGAGTGGTGAGGAACGTGTTCTATTTATAATTTTTTTTTTCCTTTTTGTAACTGTGATACTCCACCATCTGCTCGCTCCGCTTGCCGATCCCCGAAATTTATTCTCATCCGTCATTGTTTATTTCTTCTTCAACGTTAATTTTACGAAAAAAAAGCATAACATTTTAGTTTCAAAATAAATTATTTTGACTTTATGTAGGAATATTTTGTTAATCGTAAAGTAGAGGATTACCCATGTTTGAAAAATGCTGATCTGTAATTGGAAAAAAAGATTCTAAGGAATATAGATTGTGCGATTCAATAAAACGAAATTTAATCATTTCAAATAGGGAATGGTTTTCATCGTTTTTGTTTCTCCAAAATTTCACTTCGAATGTTAAGATCCATGTCTGGTAACATGTAATCTCTCTTACTATTTTTGATTAACAAACGAACTTTTAAAATAAAGAAATAAAGATCTAGTTTGGGGAAATATATACTTTCCATGATAATGGATAAATAGTCATTATTTAAAGCAAAATAACCGAAAAAAATCACGAAAAAACACAAATTGATTAACTTTCTATCCAGATGGATGAAGAAAGCCTTTGCAACTAGCACTTGTTAGAAAAAGAACTAGGGGAGAGATGGATAAAACGGGATACCATTATTGTTTATATTTACTACGGAATATCTGTTCAGGAAAACCNTTTTTTTTTTTTTTTGTAACTGGGATACTTCACCATTTGCTCGCTCCGCTTGCCGATCCCCGCAATTTATTCTCATCCATCATTGTTTATTTCTTCTTCAACGTTAATTTTACAAAAAAAAAGCANAAAAAAAAAAAAAAAAAACGCATAACATTTTAGTTTCAAAATAAACTATTTTGGCTTTGTGTAGGAATATTTTGTTAATCGTAAAGTAGAGGATTACCCATGTTTGAAAAATAATGATCTGTAATTGGAAAAAAGATTCTAAGAAATGATGTAGATTGTGAGATTCAATAAAACGAAATTTAATCATTTCAAATCGGGAATGGTTTTCATCGTTTTCGTTTCTCCAAAATTTCACTTCGAATGTTAAGATCCATGTCTTGTAACATGTAATCTCTCTTGCTATTTTTGATTAACAAACGAACTTTTAAAATAAAGAAATAAAGATCTAGTTTAGGGAAATATATACTTTCCATGATAATGGATAAATAGTCATTATTTAAAGCAAAATAACCGAAAAAAATCGCAAAAAAACACAAATTGATTAACTTTCTATCCAGATGGATGAGGAAAGCCTTTGCAACTAGCACTTGTTAGAAAAAGAACAATGTGGTAATTTGATTTATTGGCGCGAGTATGGAACAAATATACATTTTATATTTTAACTCTTAACTTCTGTTTACTTCCATTTAACTTCTATCTAATTGAACCTTTTAATTGTACGTCGATAGAAATGTAAAAGGGTTAACTGACGGCAGTGCTTATGTTCCATTTGCCTGGAACAAACTGCCACCATTTTTAATGTATAGAATATAAGAGCGCAATTTCTGAGCTTACGTAATTAAATTCTTTATACATGATGCTAAAAAAAATTGCTACGCCTCAGAAATTTGTATCAATATCTCAATTAAAAAAAATGCTTTTACTTTCTTCGCAATAAAAATTCTAATTTTGCGCAAATTCTTTTTTTCTCCCTTCCTTTTTCTGTTTCCTTTGAATATCAATTTTAGTTGTGCGGCAGCATTAAAAAATTACAGGACGTTTTAAATTTTTAGGCGTGTGTTTTCAAATCTGAAAATGAGATTTTAAGAAAAATGCGTTTTAAAAAATTATTATTTCTATAGTCAAACCCCGCTATAGTGAACACGGTTTATAGTGAACTCCCGGATATAGTGAACGAAATGTTAGGTCCCGTGCCTTGCTATACACGCATAATGTTAATTTTTGTGGATATAGTGGACCAAAAAAGTGAGGAAGTTGGATATAATGAACTTTTTCCTGTCTTCAACTGATTTTTTTCTTCATTTTTTTTAAAAAATAATTTTGAAATTTTTACTTTAAAATAAATACATATACCGATTTTTTAAAACCATCTATAGAGGGGAATTTAGCGATAAGCTTCTTTTATCTCACTTTCCCATCCCTAAACAAACCAAGCAGATAGTGCACCTGTAAGGTGTCAGTGGGATCAATATGAATTTTCTGTCAGGATTGCTCATCAGCTAAAGATTACTAAATTTTTTTTTTTTTTTTTTGTAAGCAAGACGAAGAGTAATGAAAAATAACACATTTTTCGCTACTAAATAATATTTTTCAGTCATTTATTTAAATAATGTGTAATAAAAGGGAGGAGTTTGGAAACCATTAGTCAAATTGCCTGCGGAACGGATATAGTAAACTCCCGGTTATAGTGAACCAAAATTTCGGTCCCTTGAAGGTTCACTATAGCGGGGTTTGACTGTATATGTTACGGTCAATGTGAATTGTCGGTTATTATTAATGCTAACCGGTCAATATTAATAATAACCAAATAAGCCGGTTAAAGTGAATAATTTAAGTGAATTTATCACATTAACCGGTTATTATTAATATTGACCGTACCAATGATGTTTGGTGAATAGCATTCTTTCTTGTTTTGGGGGGATATTTCCGTATCGTGAACTGCCACGTCAACTACAATCGCCCAGGCGCTAAATTTATTTCAAACTAGAAATTTTTTTAAGAAAAGAAAAAACATGTTTACCTGGTGGTGGCTATGAGTTATATCCTTTCTCGATCGAGATGGTCCCTTACTGTGATGTGTTTTTTAGGTTTTTTCGGGCAGTTGCCAAGACTTGGCGATTATTCTACGAACAGATAACGATACGGAAATTTCCCGTTTTTTATTTCTCACTTTGACCGAAAGAAACGGTTATTATTAATTGTAACTGCTTAGTATTAATAATAACCTGATTTATCGCTTTAACAGTAACACATGTAAAAAGAGGCATCCCTTTGTCCCAATGCTATATAATCCGTTTATTCACATTAACCAAACTTGGTTATTATTAATAACCGGTTAAAGTGATTAATTTGAGTTATTTCTCACTTTGACCAAAAGAATAGGTCATTATTAATATTGACAGGTTAGTATTAATAATAACCGGATTTATTACTTTAACTGTAACACATAGACAGTAAGAATTTGAAAGAAAATGTTATAAAGCAGCAGTTGCTTATTGATTCAAAAATATAAAACTTGTCAAGTTTTCAGATGCTTAATTCGGGTTCGAATATTATTTTATAGTTCAAATGTAATAATGAGAAAAATACCGAGTGAACTTAAGTTACAAGTTCAGAATACTTTTTCTCCTACCCATAAAATTGTGTTTACGAACTTCAAAATAGCCCATTAACCGTTTAAATAATAACTGGGAATATATAAAATTTCCTGTGAATCTATGAATTGTGTCACAATCGTTCTCTCAAAATTCATAAAAAAAACGAAAACTATGAAGAAAAATAAATTCTAATGAGTCCTCGGGGCACAGTCAGTTTTTGGTACTATTACCATTTACGACAGAAAGGCTCCTATGTGTTGGCAGACAGTTTGTCCCCTGATGAAGTGCTGTTTTGCTAACATGCATATCTTTAGTAATTCTTTTTGTTGTTGTTGTTCTTTTTGCTTGATTTGTGTCTCTAACTTTCTAAATTATTAAAATAAGATGAATTTGGTTTTAGCGCTTCTCCATTTTGACTTATTATCTTAAACGTTAATTTCTAATTTTGTCTTTTTCTGAATTTGCGTAAATCAGTTTCATTATTTGATTAGCATAAATAAAGTGTAAGGTTTTTGCTATGTTCTGAGATTTTTCTTTTATTTGGCTGTATTCGTACAAAATATCACTGTTAGTTATTTTTTGGGTTGCACCTTGTAGGGGCATAGCATGCTTGCGGAGTCTTCCAAATTCTTTTGCTGAAATTTAAAAAGCGCTTTATATTGTAAACATTACAAGTATAATAATATTTGATGGTGCTCTTTTTCAAGTTTAGGCATAAAAATCAATCGGAAGTAGTAACCCGGAAGTCTTACGACGAATTTCAACCCCTAGCACTATCTGTACTTAGCTTTACACCAGGGATGAGCAAACTACGGCCCGCGGGCCAACTGTGTCTCGCCGGAAGATTTTATCCGGCCCGCATATAGAATTTTTATTTGCCGATCAGTAGCAAATATAAACAATATGCATCCATTTTCTTGTCGACTATGTTTAAAATTATTTCTGTTTTTCCTTTTTTGACAAAGTACTGATGAAATTTTTGCTTTCTCTATTTTTGTTCTGCAAACATAAATTGATGGAAATAGTTCTTTACAGCTTCAATTGGTAAAATGTTGAAAGCAGAAGTTCTTTATAGAATAGCCGTAAATTGGCTCCAACTAACGTTTGTCTTTCTCGAGGAGCTGACTTATGGAATCTAATATAGGTAAAGTGTACTTCACATTTGGCAGACTGCGCATTTTACGCTCCAAAGAGCGGACAATCTAGCAATCATCTGAAGCAGTTGTTTCTAAATAGTATTCCAAAGTTTTGCAAATCATTACCAAAAGCTAGTTTCCCAAATTTAATATTTCATGCTCTTACAGAAAATTTTCAGTTTCAATAAAAATCATTATTTAGAAACTAAAAAACGTAAATAAAGAATGCTTACAAAAAAAAAAAAAAATTCTAAAATTTCTTACATTAAAATAAAAAACTTTCATGTTCTTTTTTGTTTTTATTCGATCTTAATTGGACGTAGAAAACCATTCTATGGATGGGTGGTTTAATGTAAACAATAACAAGCGTCCTTAAACCGGAAGAAATTTAGAAAATTTCCGGTGTATCCCTCCGCTTATGTTATGACTACGAGGCGATGTGTGAACAAGCCTAATATTCTATGCAGTTTTGTTATTGTAATTTGGGTTCAAATCTAAACATAATTGTACCATTCATAAGAGCTTTCAGAAATGTATTGATTCTCAGAGGTCGTAAGGCCAAAAAAAATTTTGGAAAGTTAATATCTCATTGTGAATAATT